CTGAGGTCTGAACCATTCCCATCCTGGGGCTGCTTCAGTCCATTCTCCAGGTGCTGCTGGACTGAAGGTGAGTGCACTTCTGACCTGCACACACACGTGGGAGTTTCCACATCATCGCCATTGCAGCACAACAGCAGCTTCTGGTGTACAAAGCCAAAACTACTGCAGGGCTCAGCAGAGAGAGATGCTCTCTCTATCAGAACCTAGAGTCTGCAAGTAACCCACATCGGATCCCTCCGTGTTACCATGGAAACGCGGCGAGGGCTTGGGGATTTTGGAAAAGCAAATACCGGAGGCATAGCCCGCGTAGGAATTGATTGCAGGAGACACCATAGACTTCCCGCAGCGGTAGCTGTAGGGCAAGAACCGTGTCCCCCCTGGGGTGACTTGAGGGTTGCGTGGTTTGTCTGCCATCAGAGCAGCCTGTGGGCAGTGCCACCCTATCCTTTGCCTCCCACCTCACCCGCCCCGCGCCCCCTCAGAGGTGTGGAGAGCTACTGCCTTTGAGAATTGGCCTTAAACAATCCCAGTGTGGAGATGAGCTCGGTTTAAATCCAAGAGCTGTGGGGCTCTGCCTGCAGAGGGTCTGGCTCTTGCTTTCATCTCCCGAGCAAGCAGCTTGGGCAGATACAGTGCACAGAGACATGGGAGGCAGTCTGCAGCTCCCAGTAAAAGCAAAACGTGCTTTGGGGAGAGAAAAACTGCAACGGTGCAGGAGAGCCAGGCACGTGCCCCTGCGCCGCCCCACATCCCACGGGTCCACTCCCTGCCGTCTGCATTATCTGAGTTGCTCTGAGGCTGGGTCATGCTTGTGACAGAGTATTTTTAGGTATAATAATTTTGGCCCATTATTGTTCCTGCGTTTCCAGCTTGCTGTTCTGATGCTGAAGAACTTCCTGGTATCTGAACAGGCTGATTTTCCTTCCTTGCAAAAGCAGCAGATGGAAGGAAACAAACACTTCTCTGCAGGAGAAGTTGAACAGGAGAGTTCTAACAAGCACAGCATTTTCTTTTGCCCCATCTTGAAGGGATCAGAGTCAACAATGCTCAGAAGACCAAGACTTTTGCTACTGGGGACTCCTTGGGAGCACAGGGATTTTTTTTCCCAGAAAAAGAAACTATTAAAAAATATCTCCATGAAGGACTCACTCTTCAAATCCTGTAATTAAAGAGTCTTTTTAATATCTACCATCAGTCATCTCTTCCTGCTCCAGCATGTTCCACTTACCTTCTCAACCCAATTTATAAGAAAAGGAGAAACAATATCCCAAATCGGATAGATCTGGAGGGGACAGATCTCTTTTCTGCAAGCCCTGCTCACAGCTTAGTTCATCCAGCAATACCTCAAATCCCAGGTAGGAGGTTTTCTGGGGATCACAACAAGCCAATGTGTAGGGCAGTGCAATGAGCAGGCAGCTCCAGAGAGCACATATACATGCCAGTGCCTTCCCATTTTGCAGACAAGGCTCCCATGGGAAAGCTGGCAGGGCTTTGCTCCTCACCAGGTTAAAAACTGCCAGCCTAAGCAGTAAGGGATTTAATCTGGACAGCAAGATTAAATTAACCAGTGGTTAATCATGATTTCTCCAGTGGACTGAAGAAATAATGGAGCGACAAAGGACACTGCTGAAATCAGTGAGTTGGGGCCCCAGAAACCAGGCTGGACTGAGCTGGCTGTGCCAGGTGGAGGCAATTTGGAACTCAGCCCTGCCTTGCCCTGTGCACCATCCCTCACGTTGGCACAACTCAGCTGGATCATTCCGTATCTGCCCCTCGGTTCTGCTGCTGGATTTCAGAAGAAAAGTCCCGTTGGGAAAGTCTTCCACCTCAGTGCTGCTGTTGTTTTCATTCCTCCTCCTTACAATACTCGGGGCTTATTGGGGCATAATTTTCCGCAACAGTAAACCAGGCTCTGCTTACGCCTGACTCTGCCCGGGCTGCAGGACGTGTGGCTGTGCTCGCTGGGGCTCTCCTCATTCCAGCAGACCCGATGTGACCGAGTGGCTTTTGTTGTTACAACAAGCACTGACCAAAAATTGCAGCTCTGTGAGTGTCTAAAGCTGTGTATGGACCCCACACCTGTGTCTGCCATGCCAGGAACCTACCACTGCCCAGGTGGTCAAGGTGTGGGGCAGCTTCCTTGGGCAGGGGCTGTAATAGAATCCCAAAACCTTTTGAGCTAGAAGGGACCTTAAAGATAATCCAGTTCCAACTGCCCTGCCCTTGGCAGGAACACCTTCCACTAGACCAGGTTGTTCCAAGCCCCGTCCAACCTTGCCTTGAACACTTCCAAGGATGGAGCAGCCACAGCTTCTCTGGACAACCTGTGCCAGGGCCTCACCACCCTCACAGGGAAGAATTTATTCCGTATATCTCATCTAAACCCACCTCCTGTTCCCTGTCCTGCTTTTATCCTTTCACTGTTCCAGAAGTCTTCTGTGATGTTCTGTGGAGGAACATCTATTATACAGCATTTATTAATTCTTAACAAATCTCTCCAGCCTAATTATACAACTCTAATTCAGGATATTATTCCACAATGGGAAAACAAGACATGGCATCTATGTATATTCAATGCCTGTGATTCCATTTCTTGCACATGAAGGGCTTCTGCTTTCAGGGACACAGGAATACTTTATAGTGAAGACAAAAAGTTTATGTCATGTGAATATTTCGTCTTCGCTTTTTTCTTAATTGGGTAATTTAGCACTAAAAGATTAAAAGAAAGATCTAGTTTTAAAGTCCTGCTTATGTCTTACTAATCTATTTAACACACCCTGCCTTTGGGTTTTATTAGTTCGCCTTTAATGTTCAATATTTATTACGAAGTGGAGATTAAAATTTTTCCTTTATTGCTCAGTCCTACACAATAATTAAAGGAACACATGTACAGTGCTAGGATTTCAGAGGACTCACTCCATTGCAATTCTGTCATATTTTCAATTGCTTTCAAATGCTTTCACAGCACATCCCGTGCGGAAGTCACTAAAAGCTACAACTTTGAGATTCAAGTGTCTCTTGGGAGAAAAGACATTTTGCACTGGAGGAAAAGTCAAAAAAACACAGAGGCATGAAGCGATTTCTTAAAACCATGAGGGAAATGAAAGCAGAACCAGTCATGTGCTGTAACCACAGCATCATCTTTCTACAGAGCTTCCCCACCTAAGAAAATAAAATAAAACAGGGAAAGCAGCTGAAAGAAATTGCCATTACCCCTGCGGAATCAGTCGTGCTGAGACTGGATGGACTAATTAGGCCGTGATTTGCCTCCACTGGCCCCAAAATGGCTTTGACACAAACGGTTTCACCAGTTCTCCAGGATATATTCCAACATCTTCTCTGGGGATGTATACAGGCTGCATCTTATTTTAGTCTCTGTGTTGTCCAAGTCAATCACTGTGCAGCTAATTACCACTGTGGCTACAGCCTTACTTAGGGATGTAATCCCACCTCAGCGGCAAGTAAATCCATGCATGTCATCAGGACAGCTCCTTACTGCAGCGAAATTCTCAGTGCAAATTGTGAATCTAGTGGAAAGGTGAAACCAGAGTCTGTCAGTGCCTGCAGCTCCTGTTCCAGCTCCTTCAAAGGCACTTGTGTTGCAGGAAACTTGCCTTCTCCAGCAGTTCCTCAGGAGTCAGTCTTTGAGGTTATTCCTGGATAAAATCCCTCACGGTTCCTGCCTCTCCTTCAGCATGAGAACTGGGATGTTCATTCATCTCACTAAGACATCGATGAACTACCTATGCCTCAAAGGCAAAATACAGGGAAAAAAGAATCCAACCTGATTATGGCACGGAATAATGAGCATCGAGGCATGTATTTATGACTGAGTTGCAGTTCAAACCCATGTCCTCGGGCTTAAACGCTTGCAACTCTGAATTTGCAGCTTGGAATCCCAGAGGGGCTGATTCAGCCTTCCTCATCCTAAAGCTGATATATTTAAATCTCATCAACCTTAGGGATTGATGTGGGTAATTTTGTGCAAGCCTGACTACAGCTGAACTGCGCACGTAGAAAATAAAGGTTACACAAGCTGGAAAGTCTCCTAGCCAATGTAACAACGCAAAAACTCCCTGAATAAACCAACTTGTCTCGCTGCGTGGTTTCCTGCACGTGCTCCTTTTGGAAAGAAATTTCTAAGCTGCAACACCATCTGCTTCATGTGGATATGGAAGAGCTGACGGCGCTTTCGGAGGAGTTGGCCAACATCTTGTGTTTGGCTCAGCTGTGGTGCAGCAGTCGCTGCCTCTTCCCTGCCTGCACGGGCACATATCAGCACTGTGAAGTGGCGGTGGGACAGGGATAGGTGGAGGGGATGTAGGACCAGGGCTTGGTCAGGATGGCTCTTACGGTGCTGGTTTCTGAGCACTGGTCCTGGTGTGTTGCTGCCGAGGAGGCGGTGTTTGTCACCGTGGGTTGACATCAATTTTCTGACTCCCTGTCTAGTTCTGGGCCCCTCACAGAAAAAGGACATTAAGAAGCTGGAGTGTGTCCAGAGAAGGGCAACAGAGCTGGGGAAGGGGCTGGAGAGTCAGTCATGTGAGGAGCAGCTGAGGGAGCTGGGGGGTCTCAGCCTGGAAAAAAGGAGGCTCAGGAGGGACCTTCTTGCTCCCTGCAACTCCCTGACAGGAGGGGGGAGCCAGGCAGGGGTCAGGCTCTGCTCCCAGGGAACAAGGGACAGGACAAGAGGAAATGGCCACAAGTTGTGCCGGAGGAGGTTCAGGTTGGACATAAGGAGGAGTTTCGTCTTGGAAAGGGTTGTCAGGCATTGAAGGGGCTGCCCAGGGAGGTGGTGGAGTCCCCATCCCTGGAGGTGTCCAAGGAACGACCGGACGTGGCACTCAGTGCTGTGGTCTGGGTGACAAGGTGGGGATGGGTCACAGGTTGGACTCTGTGATCTCAGAGGTCTTTTCCAGCCTCAAAGATTCCGTGATTCTGTAACTCCGTTCTCCCGCGGCCCCGGGCGGCTCCGGCGGGCGGGGCGGGAGGCGGCGCGGCCGAGCGTGACGGGGAGGGCGGGAGCGAGCGGAGCCCGCAGCGAGCACCGACCGGGCCGCCGCCGCCTCCGCCTGCGCAGCGCCCGCACCGAGCCCGGAGCGCCATGGCGGCCGCGGCCGCCGAGCCCAGCACCGGCCGCTACCAGCAGGTGAGGGGCGGCGGGGCCGGGCCGGGCCGGGGCCGGGCGGCTCCCGGGGCGGGGGGGCCGGGAGCGGGGCTGGGCCCGCGGCCTGTGCTGGCGGCGGCGCCCGGGGCAGAGGCCGCGGGTTCCCGTGGGGCCGGGCCGGGCTCGGCCGCGGAGCCGCTTCCCGCAGGCTCGGGGCCGGGTGTGCCCGGGGCCGGGTGTGCCCGGGGCCGGCTGTCCCTGTCCCGGGGCGGTGTGTGCGCCGGGCCGGGTGTTTGCCCTGTCCCGGGGCGGGTCCCGACCTTGGCGCAGGGCGCTGTCCTCGCCCGTCGTTCCCCCCCGCGGGTCAGCGAATCCCGCGGGGAACGGGCTCGTTCCGCATCGGCCTGAGGTCACCGTTAGTTGTATTCCACCTTTCATGTGTCGGCTCCTCTGAAACCCCCCAGGCCAGGGGCTGGCCTTGCAGAGCTCCCTCGGGAATTCGGGGTAGTCCTTCCCTCCCTGCCTCCCGTTTGTCAGCAGTGCCCGCCCCTCGGGAAGGGTCGGGGCTCAGCTGGGCCCCTCGGTGTGACCCAGTTCTGGCCGGCGCCTTTCTGACATGGAGAAATCCTTACTCCAAGTGAGGGAGAAATCCCTCGGAGCAGCACCCATCTCGCTCCTGCTGAACCGAGGTTCTCACAGGAAATCGCTGTGTTGTGACTTTTCCTCGGTAGCATTTCCAGCGTGGGTAGGCTCGCTCTCGTCAAGAGTTCGAGATACACCCTCCCATGGGATGGAATACTTGTCTCGTCTGACAGCTGGAGGTCTCTGTGTTATTACATGCTGGCAATGTGAAAATTAAGTAAAACTCAGGCTTTTTTTTTTTATTTTTTTGTTGGTCTGTGCTAAACAGATGTGTTCACTTACAATGGCAAATCTCTTTGTGTTGTTCTTGGAACTGGTAGGGTTAAATAACCAGGTCTCTGTGCTAATTGCCCTTCTCGGTGCAGTCCTGCCGTTGGTGTCGACCCTGAAAAGTATCTTCACAAAAGCCTTTTCCCAAGGGATCTAGCAGTGTGTCCCATCACCTGGAGCTCGTAGAGATAGGTGACAGAATTGCTGAAGGACCCTGTTGCCTTGGTCTTTGGTCACCCTGTTCCTGGCAGATAATGCACTCCTGGTTTCCTTAAAGAGGGCTGAGTAAAGCTGTTGTTTGCCCAGCTCCTGCTCACACCTCACAGACACAGAGCAGACTCATCTGTGGAGCGTAGCCGTGCATGGTGCTGCGGAGATTAGGGAGCCAGGCTGTGCCAGAGGATTTGCACTGCTAAAGACAAGCAGATAATGGAGGGCTGTGAAGCGACTGGTGTAACTGGAGCGCAGAGTCAGATTTTCACATGTAAATGTATTCACTTTTGTGTAGCTCTTTAGAAACTGCTTTGCTTTCCTCACCCTCTGCCAGGACCAGGTATTCTTATTGTGAAGTGTCCTATTGCTGAACTGGCTCCTAATGTTTGTGTTGCTCTGAAAAACCCTGCAAGCTGTAAAGATGCAGAGCTGGGATTTAGATGAAGAGGAGATGGGAGTGTGGGAGTGTCTCTCTAGCATTGAATTTGTCTGTTTTTCTTCCATATTTTGAAACTTATCGTGTGTGTGAATATACGATAATGAATGTTGACAGACTGATAGTGAAGAGATAACTATAAGGGCTAGAGGTGAATACAGGACTCAGTAAGTGGGGGTAGCCTGGAGAAATTCAGAACAAACTCTTTTAATCCTTTAAATTATTGGATTATGAGGCAGTGGAGGAATTTTAGAACTTTTTTCTTTTTGGCTGATGGGTTTAATGGATTAGTGGGGTTGGTTACACTCATAGGTGGTTCCTGTACAGGTAAATGCCCAAACATGCTGGGAATGTGTATCCTTGCTCCAGGAAGGGTTACTGGTGTATCCACGTGTGTGTAGGAGCAGCACTGGTGAGGAGTGGGCACTACTGAACATGTACAAATATGTAAGATTCCTCAAGTGCCTGTATTTTCAGGAAAAAAGAAGTGATAGTTAATGAGGATGATCTGAGAACAGCAGAAATAGATAAATGAGTTTGAAACCTGTGTGTTTCCTCACCCACCCCTTCCTCAGCCCTGTGGATGGGAGTTGGGAAGGTGGAAGCGTGGGCTGTGTCCCTCAGCAGCCCCTTCCCTGCGAACTTACAGCCTGTGTCCGTTCCCCAGTGCGGGCAGTGCTCAAGGGCTGTTCACTGATTTATTTTCCAAAGCCAACTTTCTAACCCTGGGCTTTGTTCAGGCATTAGATAATCTGATAAAAAATAGCCTGCAGTGGTGGCTTTGGACGATGCGAGTCTGAGCTCACGAACTGAGGAAGTGCAGCTCGGTGTAGAATAAAGCTGAAACTCTGGAGAAGGGATTTCAGCTTCCCTGGCCCCTTCCATGTGGAGCCAGGCTGGGGCAGGGTGACCGGGGCAGACAGCGGGATTTGGATCCTCCTCCGCGGGCTGGATGCCAGGGCTGTGCTTGTGGAGGTGGGAGTGGGAGAGCTTTGGGAGGAAGGAGGGCTGCAGACTGCCCTGGAAGTGTTGTTCCAGGCAGTGCTGTGTCCCAAAAAGGGACACCGTGTCCCAAAAAGGGACACTGGGAGGCTGTTGTCATTTTGACCTGCCTTTGGGAAAGTTACACAGGGATGTTGTTGGGATTAGGGGTTTAAAGCCTTTTGAGCATAGTGCCTGGATTGTGAGTTCAGTGGCAGAACTGTATTTCATCCTTGGAATAGAAATTATCCTCCATTCTGGAAAAAATAGCCTGGCTTTAACAGGTTTATTTACACTCTGTGTTAGCCAGGCCTGCTTTTCACTTGAAGCATTCGAAAATAAATGTGAGGTGTATGAGTAATGTAAACCCACCTAGGAAATGGTGGGAGTGTTAAATAATGAAGACGTATTCCTTTCTAAGTGCCATTTCTTCCTGTTCCACTTGTTGAAGGCTTACATGGGTCATGAATCATTCCATAAAGGGAGGTGGCTATGGGAAAAATAGGGAAGAAAGATTTTTTCCATTTGTTTGTTTTTCTTTCAGTGAAACTGTAGAAGATAGAATTCCCAAAGACAGAATGGGAATAGAGTTTAAGTCCACAAAGGACCATGATGTTTCCTTAATATCTGGGAAGGCTGGAGTGGAACAGGGAGGCAGGTGTCAGTTGCTGCCTCGTGGGTACCTTAAGCTTGTATTTAAGTTTTTAACTGAAATGGGCACACATATCAAAGCTAAAAAATGAGAATGTACCAAATTTTTAATGTCAGCAGTTAGAATTAGAGATGTCAGTGACTGTTTTCTCAGTGAGGTACTTTTAGTGTGCAGATGTGCTGGCTAAAGATAACAATGGTAAGAAAACTTCCAGAATAGGTTGTTTACACTCTTATTTATTTATTTATTTAGTTAGTTAGTTGGTTAGTTAGTTATTTAAAGTAGAAAAGGAGATGTCCATTGACATAAAAAAAAGTTAAGATTTAAAAAAAAATTTAGCGTAAAATCGCTTGTGCAGCTGCTGCTCTTGGGTTGTGATGAAGCTGCCCCGTGTCCAGCCCAGGCTGTGACTAAAGTCTGGTTGTTTTCTTCTGAAACACCCACCTCTGTAGGCAACAGTACCTGTCAGGTGAGTTCACAAGGTTTTAGTGATTCTATGTGAAGAAGTAATTATAGAACTAAAATACATTCCATCTGTAAAACTCAAAGGACGTGGGAAAGGCAGGGAAACAGTAGCAGTCCAGTGTCATCACACAGCTTGTGTAACAGGAGAAAATAGCCTTGCATGCAGACTTTTAAATAAAATATTATCTCAGGAGTCAGGATTGTGTTGGACTCCGAGTTGGGCTCCTTTGGTGCCTGTTCTCTCTTCACTAAAATTCAGTGGGGCTCAGTAATCCACTTGGGAAGCAGCTGTAGGAACAATCTCTGAGGGCTTTGGGTTGTTAAGTGGCTCTCAGAGGACGTGGTACCTCTTTAGGTGAGCTTGGCATCATGTCCTAAAAGCAGCCTTTTAGAAAGCAAGTATGAAAACTTCCATGTGTGTGAACTGTAATCCTTTGTCCTTGAGACTAGTGAGAAAAATTCAGGAATAAGGTGAATCCAAGCATTCTGTTCCTTCCTCCTGTGAAATATTCAAATTTGATATATGATGGCACAATCAGATGATTTTAACTTTCTTGATATGGCAGTTTTTAAAAATGTGATATTTTAAAATGTTTTAAAGATCCAGAATTCTTTCTATGATGCCTTAATGTCCTGAAAAACATTAATCTGATCCTGACTGTTATGAGCAGGCCTTATGCTTTGTTAAGTGGGAGAAATTTAATTACAGCTATCTAGGATTAAAACCTACTTCTTCCATATTAAGATCTGGAACACTCAAGTCTAAGACCAGTCTGTAGGTGCAGGTTTGTGCTGGCCCAAGTGCTTGTTTACAGTCTGTCCAGACCAGTCTAATTCCCTGTTTGAACAGAGAAGAGGGAATTACATTAGTGTGTTTCCCAGGACTGAGGAGTATTTCTTTGTTGTCAGGCCATTGGCTGCAGTGAGTCAGAGAAGAAGAACATCCTTGTGAGCACAGGTTGTATTTTGAAGGACGTAAAATGTGTTTTGGTTTGTGTTTTTACCTTGGTGGCTCCCAGGGTCACTGCAAACGTCCCCTCAGGAGGATGCTCCTGCTGGTTTCTGCTCCATGTGTTCTTGCTGTGTGGCAGGGAGCTGGTCCAGCTGGGGAGAAAAAGGTGAAAGGTGGGAGAGGGAGTGGAGGCATTGTTTTCAGTCCTTTATTAAAATGGAGGAGTATTTCAGAATCACAGAACCACTGAGGTTGGAAAACTCTTCCAAAATCGAGTCCATCCTATGACCAGTCCCCACCCTGTCAACTAGACCAGAGCACTGAGTGCCACGTCCAGGCATTCCTTGAACCCCTCCAGGGATGGTGCCTCCACCAGCTCCCTGGGCAGCCCCTTCCAATGCCTGACAGCCCTTTCTGTGAAGAAAATCTCAGGCTGGCACAGGCCTTGGTGGCCACTCCCCAGAGCCAGGCTCTGCTCAGGGCCGTGGGGAGAAGCAGTTTCCCAGCATGGCCCGGGCAGGAGCATTGGCATCTCCTGGGGGCAGGGAGAAGCCAGGCGAGGGTTGGCTGCCAAATGTGTCACCTAAGAAGTGCTCAGCACACCTCGTGCTGGGTGCAGGGAGCTGGGGCAGACACGCTCCTCAGGGCTGGCACTGCTCCAGGAAATCAGCTGGAAGTGCCTAGGGGAGAAAACAGTTATTTGCTCATCAAGGAGAGGGCTGATGGGTGTGGGTTGGCTTGTCTAGTAGCTTATCATTATTCCTGCTGATTAATAAGCTGATATTAAGTTATAGGAATCTGCAACAGCATCAGGCAAAAGTCAGGATTTCAAAGTGGGGTGCATTTAAAGTGAAGCATAAGTCAGTAAAATAGTTCTCTTCAGAGTTGACAGCAACTTTAATTTGCTTCCAAAAGGCCAGGGATATGGAAGGAGAAGAGTCAGGGGTGTTGAGATGGGAACAAGTGTAATCCTTTTTGTGGACAGGCTGGTGACTTGCTGGAATACTCTCAAGTTTAGCAGCAATACACATTTCTAGATATTTATTTATTTTAACATTTGGCTTGCAAAGATTATGATTTCGTAGTTCTGGAAAAAATCAGTCCTGTCACATTTTTTAAAAATATATTTATTTTCTTTCTGTCTTTAGCCAAAATATCTGCCTTTTTAATAATCTCAGAGAAACCATAGTAACAACAAAACTGAGACGTGGTGAGGGTTATCTGCACTCTAGAATTCCTCTGTGGCATTTCTGTGCAGTTCTGTCCAGTGTGCCAGAACGTAAAATAAGAACTGGAACACAGTAAACATTGATGATAAATGGTTGACTTAGCACATTACTGTGATATATTGCTAAGGCCAAGCTTGTAGTAATGCTGATTTAAAGTAAAAATATTTACATGCAGGACTTGGGGAAGGGGAATTTAAAGATTCAAAACTGTGTCAGCAGCCCATATGCTGAGTTTAGGAAATTTGGAAGAATTAACGAGTATATTTATTGGAAATGCCTTCTTCAAAGTTTACATGGAAATATTTCCAAACAGTTTGAACTTTCATGCTGCTGTGCTGTGTGTATTTACACGGGATGTGTCTCGGTCAGGGGGAAGTGGCAGCCAGAGGTGATGTCCTGCTCAGTGCCAGGCTTCTGATTCTGGTTTTTGGAAAATAAATATCCCTGGGTATTCTGTCAGGCAGCTTTCTGTTGTTTTAGCTGTCACAGCCAAACTGTTTTTTAATAACTGTGTGCATGGCTGTAAATTTGTGTCTTATTGCCACAAATACCAGAATCTTGCTTTAAAAGCTAAAATCCATCAGTGAATCAAGGAAAGAATTACCCCACAGCCTCAGCCGAACAGACTGAAGTCAAACACTGCTTTAACCAGGTTTTCCAGGTTCTGAAGCCTCAGGGGTGGCCCAGAGGAGAATTGCTGGGAGCTGAGAGCGTACCTGGAGCTGCGCAGGGCAGGTGGGACACAGGAGGCCAGGGCAGCGCAGCACTGCCTGCCCTGCGAGGCCTCATGAGTCATTCTTCCTGTCACATGAACCCTCCCTGCTCTGCTAAGAGGCACTTAGTTGAATTTTAGATGCCTGGAATCATTAAAACGGCTGGAAGGCATTTGTGTACCTTGTCCATTAGAAGAAAAATCTGTTTTTTATAACTGTAACCTCCTACAGCCTCGAGCTCTGCTTTAGAAAGTAGCTGCATTTTTTGTGTCATTACCTGAATAGTGATGTTTGAAGCCAGCAGTGAATTCAGCTGCTTTCTCCCACATGACATTGGTAGAAGAACATATATTTCTTTTTACTATTGAAAGAAGAACCAGTAGTAGGAGTTAATATTCCACTCTATTATCTGCGTCCTCTTTTGTTTCATCTCTTCCAGTGTTGTCACATGTAATGCTTTCCTTCCCCCTCCTTGGTGACTGCGCTCTCAAGGTTGTACATGTCTTCTTCCTTACAGACATGAGGGGTTTAATTTCTGCCACCCCCTCAACCTGGAGAGCAGGTAACACAGGGCATGTGGTATCCAGAGTGTCCCAGCTGTGCCAGAGCCTTTCCTCCTCTGTAAACAGACTGGATCCTGCCTAGGCAGAAGGAAAAAAGGGTAGATGTGTGGGATTTTCATGGATAGACTGACAATAAGCATAGTGGAGCATTTTCTGACAATTCATAGACTGCAAAGCTGGGAGAGTCACAGAATGGTTTGAGTTGGAAGGGACCTTAAAGCTCATTTTGTTCCATCCCATGCCACAGGCAGGGACACCTTCCACTATCCCAGGTTGCTCTATGCCCCATCTAACCTGGCCTCGAACACTTCCAGGGATGTGGCACTCACAGCTTCTCTGGGGAGAGACTAAACCAAGTAGTTTAGCTGTGTGTTGCTCTGTCCCTTTGGTTGTCCCTCGTGCTCTGTGCAGGCTGGTTTTGGATTTCTGCAGTAGTGCTGTCTCTTTTTTAATTTTTATAGCATATTTTGATAGGCAATTACTTCACAAGTTAGCTTGCATTTTCTTCTAATGGCTGAGTGCCATGGGGTTTATAAAATAAGGTATTTTTGTTTCCTGGAAAGGGCTCATGCTGAGTGAGCTGGTTTGAGAAGACAAAGATGCATTGCTGTGGTGGGAGTTGCTGCAGCTTCTCGTGCCATTGCTTTGTGCCCTGGGGCTCATTAAAGCTGCAGGTGAGGCAGGTCCTGCCACCTCCACACCCGTGGCCTCACTGCCAGGGCACAGGGAGGGATTATTTGCTGTGGTTCACATCTGGCTGGGGACCAGTGTTTCGGATGCCTCCCACAGCCGCAGCTGCTCCTGGCGTAACACGGATTAAATTTTCATCCGGATCACTGAATTTCTCCTTCTTCAAGGAAGTGGCTCAGCTTTGTGTCATGTGAGGAGTTCTTACCCAGAAAGCTTGGGGCTGATCAGTACCCTTATTTTTTCCTACCTCTTCTGTTTGGAAAACGTGAATGGGGAGAGGCTGGCGGCTTGCTGTCAGACGAGCAGGGTGAGCTGAGCTTTATGGTCCTTTCCAACCCAATCCTGGGATTCTGTAACATTTGATCTTAGGCAGCAAAAGGAATAGAAACCCAAAACACAATTGTGTATCCAAAGTCTGCCTTTAGAAGTGGGAGTTGCTTGGGTTTTTTTTCGTGATAAGGCGTACAAGTGAAATAAGAACATAGCCTCACTCCCTCAACCCCTGAGTTAGGTCTGGAAGGACTTGAATGGCAACATGTCTCTCCAAAGGAAAGAAGGCAAAATGTCATGGATGGCTTCAGGAGCATTGGCTGGGTGTCAGGAGGGAAAGCTCAAAGAGATGTTGTTCAGTGCTGATTGCAAACAAGGGCAGTACCTCCTGCGCAGGGCAGCGGTTCAGTCCCAAGGTGCTTTTTTGAGGTGAGTTGTTGTTCTGCAGACAACCTCAGCAACTTTGCTGCTGAGATGATGGGAAATGGAAAGAAGTTAAAAATGAGATGGCAGCTGTAGCCTCATTTCTGGTGTGTTCTGCTTTGAATTGTTGGCCTGGTACTGCTGCTTCCTTGATCAAAGCCGGCCTGGCACACCTGCCTCGTGCGAGTGACACTGTACCCGTGATAGCTCTGTGGTTATTTATATAGAGCCTGTGGGAAGCACAGTGCACAAAATAAACCATCTCCTTTTCAGTCATGCAGTGTGAAAGGTTGAAGGGAAATGGCAAGATTCATACTTACGTGCATCATTATGTAATGTATCCATGGAAAAACACTTCCTTAGCAAAGCCACAGGCAGCAATGGAGTCTTTTGTTGGGTATCTCACAGTATTTCTTTGACTAAAACACATGCAACTGCAGCTCCTAAGCAGTGGGAGCTGAGGAAGTGCCAGGGAAATGGAAAGGTACTGGAAAGCTGTGTGCTGTGCTTTGTTGGAGTCCAGGTGTGTGAGGAGAGGATTTAAAAACACATTAAAACCGAGATGGCATATTGATCATTCCAAGTGGGAGTGCTTCGGAGGGAGGCCGAGCAGCTGCTCAGTGTCCTGTGGTGCTGCAGAACATTCTCCTTGCAGAGGACTCTGTTGTGTGCTGTTAAAGCTGCAGGGGTGATGTGACAGCACTCGAGAGCCCCCCTTAACCTCCTGTGTGTGGGTCTGTTCAGCTGCAGAATGAAGAGGAGCCGGGTGAGACTGCACCGGTGGTGAGCGATGCCCCTCCGCCCTACAGCAGCATTTCTGCGGAGAGCACAGGTAACTGCCCTGCAGGGAAAGGGCTGGGCTTGCTCTGCTCTTGTTCACTGCTCTCCTCGTCGATGGCTGGCACTTCCCAAGCTGCAGGGATCAGAATTGATCCAGAGAGCCTTGTTGGTACTTGTGGTTTAGGAGATGCATTTTGGCCGTGTTCGTCTGATGTCATCCCATCAAGTGGTGTTCAAGTTACAGTTCACAGTGTTCTCTGTAAACTGAACACAGTTAAAAATCAAAGTGCTGTGAGGATTTGTGGTTCTCCTCTCATTATTTGGCATTTGGATGATGCTGTGTCCCTTCCCAAAAGGACTTGTTACTTAAAAACCTTTAAAGAATTCACTCTTCCTGCGCTTTTCACTAAGGACTTGGTCATAAGAATTATCCTCATAACATGTCACTAATAACTTTAATAACCACTTAATAACTACTTGGATGTGGAAATACAACTATTTCTGAGTATTCAAGTCAGGAGAGACAGAGCAAGTGGTGTTGTTTTAAGCATAAGTACAGCCAAACATGTTCAGGTAGTGTTCTGTGGATTGCTTGACACCACATAAGGTGCTCCCATGCTTTTCACTTAATGTTCTAGGGTGGCAAGAGGCTGGAAGGGTGGGGAGGGCACAGGAGAGGCACTGAGTTGTTTGAAGTCACCTGGAACACTTCTCGTTCCCAACACGGTGTTTTTAAGGAACTGACAAGTTGCCTTCTCTGTAACTGTTTTTTGTGCAGCTTATTTTGACTACAAGGATGAGTCAGGATTCCCGAAGCCGCCATCATACAACGTGGCCACCACCCTGCCCAGTTACGACGAGGCAGAGAGAACCAAGGCTGAGGCCACCATTCCCTTGGTTCCTGGGAGGGTGAGTGCACCTGCCTGCCTGGCTATCCCAGCATTTCTAGGGTAGAATTTCTTGTTTAACTCCTGCCCATCACACGCCATGAGTTTCTTTTCTTTTGTTTTGGGTTTTTTTCTGTGTGTTTTTTAAGCTTTCTGGGGCAGTGATATTACACACTCCTGAGAGTTCTGTGGCTATTTTTTTTTTCTTTTTAATTTTCCTCTGAGCACTGTGATGATGTCAGACATCTCAGTAATACCAGCATGTGCTATCCAGATTAGCTTGGCAAGCTGACAGAGGGACTGTACTGTAGTCCTATGCTCTGTCACTGGGTTTTGGGTTTTGATTTTCTGTTTTAAAACGATTTAGGATTAATTCTTCAGCTGTCTGGCATATCTACCCTTGATACTCCTCCTATTTACTTAGTTGACTTTTCTGGAGGTCAGTGTAGCTGATACAAGGATGATAAAACCATTCTGTCAGAATTATTTCTTTTTGCTTTTTCAACATTATCTCTTGTTCAGCCCTTTCCTCCACCCCTGCTAGCATTACATGTCCACTGCTCATTATACTTCTTCATAGAAGCCACATTCCTTGCTGATATGATAATTTTTTGATGAGTAGAGGAATTCTTTACAGTGAGAAGGACATGCTGCATCTTGGACTAAGTTAAAAATAAATTTCATGTTATGTAGATAACATTTCATGCCCTGCATCATCTGAGGATGAGAAGCAGGAATTTTTTTCTGCTTGTATTTGTAGCCTTTTGAGATTTAGGGTTCCAGCCCTTTTTCGAAGAGCCACATGAAGAACTGGGATTGCTGTATGAACTGGACTGACTTAAATCCCCCCATGGTGGTGTTTCCCTCTGATTTGCAGGATGATGACTTTGTGACACGGGATGACTTTGATGACACTGACCAGCTGAGGATAGGAAATGATGGCATTTTCATGCTCACCTTCTTCAGTAAGTACATGATGGAATGAACTTCTTTTCAAACAGTGACCCAAAATAGTTTGGGTCACCCTTAGTTTATGTAGCACCAGGAAAAAAATGTGTGCAGGGGGTTTATGATTTTTTTTCTCTAGGAATATAAAGTTGGCTTGACCTGCTACTTTTCTCCTGCTTTTTCAGTGGCATTCCTCTTCAACTGGATTGGATTTTTCTTGTCTTTCTGTCTGACTACTTCAGCTGCAGGACGATATGGGGCCATTTCTGGGTTTGGTCTGTCTCTTATTAAGTGGATCCTTATTGTCAGGGTAAGTTGTGTGGTGCAAAACAACATGCACAGACACTGTTACTCTTTTCAGGCAGACTTTTATCTCCCTTATGTTGAAGTTAGTGATAAATTTAGTTTTTAAAAATGACATAAGTTTTGAGCCACTTATTCACTAAGAACAGAGGTTTTTCATAATTCTGTCCTGTTTCTGTGCTGAAATTATTATAGCGGTAAAGAAAATACAGATTGCACACCCAGGTGTGCTCCATCCCTGGGAGTGTTCAAGGTCAGGCTGAAGAGGGCTTGGAGTGACCTGACTGAGTGGAAGATGTCTCTGCCTGTGGCAGAGATGAGCTTTAAGGTCCCTTCCAACCCACACCATTCAGAGGTGCATTCTAAATGTGGCTTTCTCTGACAGAGCCACTATATTGGATGTGGTTGTGTGTTGAGCAGCAGCAATCATCTGATCTGTGTAAGACCTTTACCCAGGTAAAGCCAGCCCTGCCATCGGCACAGGGATGTGCCTCTCCAGTCTCATGTTCCTTAGGCTTTTCTGTGTAAATAAACAAAATTATCTAAAAGGTGGGATAGCTGATGAGGAGTCGCAGTGGGAGAAGCCCTCTGGTGCCCTCTGGTGAGGCGTCCCTGCAGCACAAGAGGAGGGAATCGGGAGGAAGCCGCTGTTCTGTTCTAATGTGTGGTTTTGGAGGGATTGGGAGAAAATATTTCCATCAGGAAGTTACTTGGAGACCATGAAGTGATGGCACACAGACATCCCAGGCTGAAAGGCTGAATTTCAAGCAGACAATCTCATTAGCTGTCCATAAGTAGAAGTAGAGGGCATTAGTGTTAGGCTGTCAATTCATACCTTATCTTTTGGGGCTGGGAATTCTAATTTGTAAATACAGCATCTGTTAACTTTATCTGTAGTCAGTGAAGCTTTTTGGGGTCATCTTTTAACAGCAGTGTTAAGAACTGTTTGCTCGATTAAAAGATGTGACAGAAGGAGGTGACATTAACTCTGGATTTGATTTAAACTTTGATAACAAGTTTATATTTTGTTAGGTTCTTAAACTTGAATAGAATAAGAAGAAAGAAATAATATAGTGTATTTTCCACTTGCACAGTGAGCTTCAGTGCTCTAATAGTGCTGGTGCCTTTCATTCAATAGGCAGTAATTTTCCCAGTAGAAAATCATGTCAGAGGGTTGCACAGATCTGGGATTATGTTTTCAATGGCTACACCATCCAACCTTACAGTGTAATGAACATGGGGCACTGCTGCAAGCCTGGTCTTCCCTTTCAGAAATTGCAACTGTGGTTTATGAGCATCAAGGACACAAGTTAAAACAGGAATATTTGCCCAGTAGTGCCCTTGTGCTCCACTGATTGCCAGAGTTTATGGCTGGGTATTGAATCTGTCCTGTTCCCCTTGTTAGAGTCGGTGTGATGTGTATGGAAAACCAATAAATAACAGTTTGTGGAGGTAACTCTTTCCCTGCAGTCTGTGTAGCTGGTGAAAAGCAGCATTCCATGAGGACTCCTATGTGCAGTGTTGGTCTGGTTATTGCTGAAATTAGTGGGAATAGATTTGGATTCAGAAATTTCCATGTGATCTAACCTGTATCTTTTTTGTTTGTTTGTTTTTCAGTTCTCCACCTATTTTCCTGGTTACTTTGATGGTCAGTATTGGCTTTGGTGGGTCTTCCTTGTACTAGGTGAGTGTCTGGAGGGGAAGATGCTTAAAAACTCTGTAAGTACAGTCAGGATTTTGTGAGCACAGCTTTCCTGGCTATTAAATATGTGTGTGTGTAGATGTACAGCTGAAATGTCACCCTCATACTCATCTTACTAAATGCCTTCAGGTTTTAAGGGCAAGTAAACACTGTTCTTCTGCTGCCATTTCTTGGTGGCAGCATCCTGATTATCATCCAGAAGAAGTAAAGAAAGGAACAGTGCTTGTTACTGATGTTGTATCTGTTTTAAATCTTAAATGGAAGAGTAGGTTGTTGCTTTCCTGGTTTTATTTTCTTCATCCTGCTTTGGGAATGCCTGGATCTCATCTGTAGTCAAAAATTTTGTGATTGTCCAGGGAAAGTTTGGGTTTGAAATTGCCTGAAATGAAAAGATTAGGTGTCATTGCTACCAAAAATAATTGTTGTATATAATCAGCTCTTGTGCATCCCAGTGATGAGGTCCCTCTGTACTAGTAATGGGCAGTTCAGCTGCTCCCTCTCTCATTGAAGAAGCAGCACCTGTCTTAACTGAACAAATGTCTCTTCCCTCCAGGTTTTCTGCTGTTTCTCAGAGGATTTATTAATTATGCAAAGGTTAGGAAGATGCCAGACACTTTTTCCACTCTCCCCAGAACCAGAGTTCTCTTTATTTACTAAAGGTAAACTTTCTGTTTTCCTGAATTTGTTCTGCTTTGTTTTTAACTCTGTTTAGAAACTCTTTTAGGCTAGGCTTTGCTTTAATATTTCTAGAACACAAGGCAGCAGGGAGCAGTTGTTTCCTGGTATGCCATACCCAGCTCTTGTGTCTGTGACTTGATGGGGAGCAGAGGAATACTTGACATTTCTCCCTGAGTTTTTACTGTGAGGAATTGTATATTCATTTGATTCCATGACTAGATATTGCAAGAACAATCTCTGCCCACTGGTATTGCACTGTATTTGGCAAATGTGTCTTTCAGAATTAATCACATGCTTGAAACACGTGGTGTGTCCTAAACATGAGGAAAGGTCACAAAATGTTGTTAGAGGGATGTGCCAGTGCCTTTGGCTTTTGGCCCAGAAAGAGCAGTTTGTCTGAATTCTGCCTGCTGTTTGAAATTGCTGCCAAGTTCCTGAAGAAATTACAGTCTTGCACACCTTTGCTCTGCAAAAACCCCTCCCACCTGAACACACTGTCCTGCCTGAGCATCTTTCAGAAACCTGAGTGCCTGCAAGTCTTTTGCTTTAATGCTGAACCTCAGCCTTGCTGCCTTAATGGGGCTTTAAAGGAGGAGGCTTAAGTAGCTGAACCCTTGTAGCATAATTTCCTGCTCACAGCAGATAATGGCCTGGCATTAACTGTCCCTCCCTGAGGGGAAGGAAATCCTGGAATAGGTTGCTTCCCAGCTGGGGAATGCAACATGATGCTCCCTTTAGAAATATCATAATAACACTCCTAATTTGCCTAAGACAGAAGCAATTGCAGCTGGGCCAGTGGTATGAAGAAACCAAACCAACCCCCGCTTCAAATTGGGGGTCATTAAATTGTTCAGGTTTTAAAACTGAGCCTTGATTTTCCAAATGCACTTTCCTTTTATTAGGAACTGCAAATTGCCTAAGATTCTGCTTCATTTCTAGTCTGTAAGGAGAACCTGCAGCACAAAACAGCCTTTGTGCAGTGTTTTCCACTGGTGATAGTGTGTAAAAATAGTTCAGTCAATTTATTTACAGGTTTGAGTTCTGTTTAACAAAGTTCTGGTTTATGACCTCCTCCAGGATTTGTAATATCCTCTCTGATTCCTGCTGAGTCACCAGAGGGTTTATTTGCCCCACTTGAATGGTCACGTAGTGTGAGCATTTCAAATCAGCTTTATCATCTGTAGTTTGTCTCACTGAACAATTTTTTTAAAATTTTGCTTCTTTATCAAAAATTTATTTTCCATTTATTGAGATGTTGCTTCATTCCTTGCTTGTGAGGATGGAGGTGTAGAGTGTTTAAGTTCTTACTTATGTGTCATTTTAGAGCTTTCAAAAAGCACTTTCTCTTTTCGATATACTGAGATAAATGTCCAGAATAATTAATAAATATTACAACTTTCACAATTCCCCTGAAAATAAATCTTTAATCCTAAATTCTGAGCGAGGAAACCGCAAAAGACTTGGATTTTTAGTGTGTTACTGTTCTTAGGATAAGATTTCCTCTGCAGGGCATGATGAGAAGGGCACGGTGAATGAGCATTTTAATGTTAGAGCAGGAATAATTTTTAGAAAACGAGAAGAGGAGCAACTAGTGCAAACCATAAAATACAGCCTGGTGAAATGAATCCAATAGAAAGCTGGTGTTTGCTATTCCACCTGTGTGTGCAGTAATGGACATGATCCTGGCATTATCCCGTAAAATATGCACAAACTCCCGAGCGCTTTGCTGGAGTCGTGCCATTGTGTGCTGAGGTACTTCATAAGTCTTTAGACATCCTGTGCTCTGTGTGAACGACATCCTTCTGTTTTCCAAAATAACACTCTGACTATAGTTTCGGTGTTCAATATCCTTCTCCGACAGATGTTTTCTGGCAAATGTCTTCCTGCATTAGTGAATTCCCCCCCAAGAAGCAGCAGGACACCTGCAGGAAGTGAATCAAGGCTCTGGAGCAGAAGAAAAAATAATCACCTGCTTTAAAATAAATAAATAAAAGTACTGTTGGAAAAAGAAAAAAAGGAGAAGCATTTCTTTCTATTTGTTTTTAGGTGTACAATTTTAATAATTAATGCAGAATTCTGTAATTGTTGAATCATTAGTGGCTAATGTTTGAAACAGCTATTGCAGTCGAGTCTGTGACGTGCTAATAAAGCCTTACAGCGATAGTTTGTTGTGATTTGGTAGCATGAGCCGTCCCTGGGGCCAGCAGGGGCCAGGCTTGCTTTATTTCCTCCTCCAGCCTGGGAGCTGCTTGGGCTCTGTGTGTGCTGTACAGCCCGTGTACAGCGTGTCCTGTACAGGCTGTGTGACACCGTGTCCTGTACAGCCTCTCTGCCCCTGTGTCCTGTACAGCCTGTGTGCACTGCATTTGGTACAGCCTGTGTAACATCACGTCCTGTACAGCCCATGCACACCGTGCCCTGTACATCCTCTGTCTGCAGTGTCCTGTACAGCCCGTGGAACATCACATCCTGTACAGCTGCGTACGCAGTGTCCTGTCCTGTACAGTCCATGTACCCTGCGTAAACCTGTCCTGTCCAGCCCACGTACACCCTGTCCTGTCCAGCTCACCTACACCCTGTCCTGTACAGCCCCCACACCCCAGGTCCTGTCCAGCCCACACCCACCGTGTCCTGTCCTGTCCTGTCCCGTCCAGCCGCGCGCGCCGGCGGCGAAGGGATGATCTCAAAAGCTGAAGCGACAGCCCCACGGTGGCTGCACACCTGCCATCCAGCAGCACCTGTGCTGCCTGTGGAGGAAAAGGGGTCCAGGTCCCGAGGTGTCAGAGGAGGGAGGATTACTTAGAGGTGGCACAAGTATTAATTTTTAACAGTCTGTATTCTCAGTGTTGTAGTAAACTTTCCTTTCGCACTACCTACTTTTTCTGGGCTATCCGGGGGTTTTCACGGAGCAAAACTGAAAGATCACGTTGCGACTTTGTATAAAAAATTACCTTGCAAAACAAAGGCCTTTTTTTTTTCTTTTCCCTTTGGCTCGGGACTTTTGAGACAACTCCTAACATACCTGTAATTCCTGCTTTTATAATTTGTGTTAGCAGAGACTCTAATGCGTTCGAAATGTAGATTTAATGTGCACTCCTGTGCTTTCTGCCAAGTGGTAATTCACTTTGGAATTTTACTATGTTCAACCTGTAAATACAGCAGAACATTAATAAATGTCACTTCTTCTGTAGCAATTTTTGCTGTAGAACAGTGTTTAATTGACTTTTGATGCGTTATCACACCTGGTTATCGATGACAAGTGCAGATCATCTGGGAGAATTCCATCACTTTTCCATAGAAGTGTAATACAGATCTCCACATCAATGTATCCATCTTCTTTTTTGTAACCAAGCAATGCCAGCCTGTCAGGAAATGGTGACTCCATTTTGGGGGATTTCTTGAATTTTTTGGTATTTTCATGACTTACCTGCCTTGTGAAACCCTGGTTTTGTTTCACGGCTGAACGTCTCAAATACACAGTCCCTACAAACAAGCAGTTGGGGCTGACAGAGGCAGATGGAGGTTCCACAGATTTCAAACAGGAATAAGTGAATACAGAATTAGGAATTTTGTCCTGCAAGGCAAAATCTGCAGCATTGGGGAGCTCTGGATCACATTTGCCCAAACTTGGTCAATCAGCCTTGTGTTTGCTCTCCTGGCATCTGGGCCTTATTTGGGCTTGTATATTCAGAGAACTGGAATATTTGGCATTCCTGTTTCTCCTCCTTTGGTGGCCTGAAGCTGCAGACACCTACAGCTCCATGTTGCTCTGCAGGCAGTGGTTCGGGGAGCACCTGGAGGGACCGGGTGGGTGGCGGGATCTGGAGAAGCCACATTTGGCTCAGTGTGTGTTGACACCAGCTCCAAACTCAAGTAGTTATTTTGGGTCTGTGACAGCTCAGCCGCTTAACATCACCTGAGTGGCACGTCTGTGGTCACCTGCAGTGACCAGGTAAATGCCCTTGGCCTTCCTGCCTGCACCTTGTCAGCCAGGTGGGGGGATGGAGGCTTTGAGGGCAGACACACCTGTGGAGCGGCTGTGCCATGTGGGAAGAGAGCTCAGACAGCCACGAAGCTCTTGACAAGGCCCTGGAGTGACAGGAGAAAGGGGAATTGCTTTAAGCTGACAGAGTGCAGATGGGATATTGGGTAGAAATCCTTCCCTGTGAGGGTGGTGAGGGCCTGGCACAGGTTGCCCAGAGAAGCTGTGGCTGCCCCATCCCTGGAAGTGTTCGAGGCCAGTTGGACAGGGCTTGGAGCAACCTGGGATAGTGGAAGGTGCCCCTGCAGGGGGTTGAAACTGGATGAACCTTAAGGTCATTTCCAAGCCAAATCAGTAGGAAGCACATCTTGAGATCTTATTTCCAGTTCCTATGAAAGAAGAAAAAGCAACCCAAGGGGAGAAGGCTCAGCTAAAGGGAGAACAGCACGTGCTGGAGGAAATCAAATGTGCCTATGGAGAAGGTAGGAGCTCCACAGAGGAAAGGAGTGGGATCTGCTCATTATTGATTCTCTTCCGCCTGTTCCAGTGGGAGCTCCAGTGAAAACACCAGTGCTAATTGTCCAGGTCATCCATTTGAAAGAGAGGATTACGCTGAGAAATAAAACCAGTCCATGGGAGACTTCCCAGTTACTTAAAGCAGACATTTCCCCCTCTCCTCTTGCTCTAGCTAACACAGTTATATTTCCAAGAAATTGATAAATACTGCTGGATTTAGGAATGATTTCTCTAAACCGTTAGGCTTCACTGCAGAAGTTGTTTCTCACAAGAGAAACGGTCCAATGAATTAAACACTTTGTGCCTTGGCCACACAAAGCCAAGGACTGACTCATGTTCAGTGGCTTCGTTAGTGGAAGTGATTCACGGGCTGGATTGCCTTGACCTCTCCTCGGGGTTGGTGCACTCTGCTCCTCTCACATCCATGTGATGGCCAAGGGGACAGCCGGACATCCTGGAGCAGGGACTGGTGGCAAACACCTGAGCAGGCCAGAAAACTCAGTCAGAAGCTCAGCCCATGCCCAGGGGGACCGTGGGAATCGCTGCTGTCTCTTTACATGATGGAGTTAAGTTTTCATAGTACCTACTGTTGTTTTCATTGCCTCATGTTTAAAAGATGGCATTGCTTTCATGGGAAGGAAAGAGAAACAAATGTGTTTGAAAATACATACTATATTCCAAAACCAGTAGCAGTTGGATTAAGGAACCTATTTAAAAACTCCTTGAACGTGGAACATTTACAAGGGCTGTTTTAGTGGTGATACCTGTTATTAATCAAATAAAACACAACTCAGTAGGTACTGGCAGGGTCGTTGTGCTCTGAATGCCCAAATCCATTCATTGCTCCAGCTGGTTGCTCAGCTGGGCTGTCACCTCATCCCATTTCAGCTCTGGACAGAGGTGCTGTGCTGGTCAGGATGAGGATTTCCATTCTACCTTTTTTTCCCAAAATTTTTGGAGAACGGACAAAAGCCCATCACGGAAGGGAATTATGATAACACAAGGACTTAGTCACTCTATGTAACAAATCAATCACAGAATGTATCCTAGAAACTAATTTCGAATCCTAGGACTTACATGGACACAAGCCCCATTTTGCTAAACTTAAAATATGTTAATAAAACCTCATAGCAATGCTTATAACAATTAAGCAAAAGGCAGGGGTCTCTGCCCAGGTTTTGGAGTGTTAGGAAGGGTCTGTGCCAGAAGCTGAAGTGTGCAGTGTCCCAGGGAGTGAAACACAGTCCATGTCCCAGGGCCAAGTGCAGCGAAGTACAACAGTGCTGTGGACTTGCTTTTTTTAAAAAATTGACTTAACAGAGGCTATGCCAAGTAGGAAATCGGGTGTTTGCAAAATATCCATCACCTCTCGGTGAGCTCTAATGGGCCACTGAGCTGTAACCTCAGGTGTTTTTCAGTGGAGCCACCTGGGCACCAGGAGATTGTTCTTGGAGCATCCTTTGGGCACTGGTGGGTGGTGGGTGAGGGCAGTGACTCCTGGCTCTGGGCATCGTCCTGGAGAGGTGTCATTGCTGGGTCTGGAGGCAGCATGAGGGGCTTGGTGGGCAAAAACCAAAATGCCCCATACCACAGTCACGCAGCACATGGACAAAGTAGGTGGCAGATTGGAGAACAATGGGAAGAAAAACCCATCTTTGACCAGATTTTGTGTTTGTTTTTGTTGTTGCTTTAACCGAAGTGGCTGGAGCGCAGTAATTAAAGGCTCAGTGGCTCTAATTGGAATAGGTTTAAACTCGAGGTCAAAATCCCTTCTGGCACTTCCTCTGCCTAATAACCATCAACAGAAATCAAACAAATCCAACCGGCTCCAGCCCCTAATCTGCGACCAGCAAAGGTCGCCGTGGTGATAACGGAGCGCGGCAGCCACAGACAGCCCTGAGTGGGAACACGGTCCCATGGGCCCAACAGCCAGTGCTGAGGGACAGCAGGGACACAACGGGCTCGTGTTGGTGCTGGGGCACAACTGATGGTGGGGCAGTTCCTGGCTGTGGGTGATGGGTTGTCCCTGGTGCTGCCCAGCTTGGAATGGATGGGGCATCGTGCTCATGAGCGAGTGATGCCGGTGCAGCCTGTGGGACAGGTGCTCAGCATCACAATTTCAGCAAAATACCCATTTTCTTTGAGCAGATGAAGGCACCGAGGCTGTGATGGGGGTTGGAGAAGGAGCTTTTAACAACCCAGGGCTGATTCCTGGGCGCCCAGCGGGTGTTGTGCCCCCCCTCCAGCCCACCCACCGCTGCCGCTTCCTGCCACCGCCGAAGGTCACTGCCCTCGCCAGGTCGCCACTTTAACTGCTTTGCTAATTATGCCCTAAGCTGGACCTTTAAAGTGATCTGGGAGGAGGAAAAAAAAAAAAAAAAAGAAAAAAGGAAAGCAAAGGGGTTGCAGATGTGCAACAGCCCCGGGATGCAGCGGGTGTGGGGCCGTCTCTCCCTGCCACAGGCTGCCTGTCCTCGTCGCAATGCCTCCGGTAACTTTTGCCTACAGATTGTGCCATTTTAGTATTTTTGGGATCTTTGTTCCTTCTCCTCTCTCTGCCATTGCACTCCCACACGTTGTACCGATTCAAGGGGTCTGGGTGGGTTATTGTGCTGTGCCTTGGGTTTCACTTGGAGGGTTTGCTTGCATGCCAAGACAGCCCCTGTGCTGTGGCTGACTGGAAGTTGGGGCTGCCCTGAGGTTGCTGCAGTGGTCATTTACCAAACAGTCAAAACATGGACTATTCAACCCTGCATGGGATGGACACACCAGGTCCTGGGCTGGCAGTGTGCCAGCTGCTGCCCCAGCTGCTCCATCGGGGTTGTGACATTGTCCCCTGTGCAGCATCGTCCTGCCCCAGAACAGCTGATCCTGCTGTGGGTGTCAGGGGACGGAGGAGCTGAGGGTGCTGTCCTGCTGCCTCTTTGAGGGAGGCTCTGGTGCCAAAAGGAGAACAGTGTGGCGCGGGGGCTGCTGGGCAGCGCTGCAGCAGCAGATGTGACACCTGCCACTGGCTTTGACACTTCCAGTGGGAACATGGAGCAGCTAAAAATTCATAGAATCCCAGAATGATTTGGGTTGGGAGTGACCTTAGAGCCCATTTCATTCCACCCCCTGCCATGGGCAGGGACACCTTCCACTAGAGCAGTTTGTTCCGAGCCATGTCCAACCTGGCCTTGAACACTTCCAGGGATGGGGTGAAAATGGAGACAGTGTGAGAGTGGTGCTGCCACGAGGCCACGCAGTGCTGTGAGAGACTGTGCCGTGCTGCAGGATGCTGTGCAATGCCATGCCATGCCATGCCATGCTGCAGGATGCCCTGTGAGGCCATGCTGTGTCACAGCTGAAAGGCATCAGCTGCAGCCACTGCACCTGAGCCCCACAGTGCTCCCAGGGCAGCAGCTCTGGCCAGAGCCTGGGCCCATGGGCAGGTGTGATGTATCTGCAATCACCCCTCCCACGAGGGAGCCCAAAAGCCCCGGCCACAGTTGGGGGCTGTTTGTTCTGGGGCTTCTGTGCTTGCAACAGGTCAGTAGGAGCCTTACTTGGGGGAATATCATCTCCTTTATGCCTCAGCCCTCCTCTGGGACCTCCAATAAGCTGAAACCTGCATCAGCACCATTCTTTGCCATGGGATGTGCTCCTGGTTTGTGTAAGGATGTGCCTGAGTTACTGCTTGATTTCTGCACCTCACAC